ATCTGGAATGTAAGCCAGTATTATGGTCTGTCTAGTGACCTGAAACAAGGTGAAATATAAGCCAGTGTGTTGGTCCGTGGCTGGTGTGGCCTGAAACGAGGTGTAATATAAACCAGGATGTGATGAATGGTTTTGAAAACCGACAAGTTGAAGAATTGAGACACTTATGCAACACATGGGAATCTTTATTGAAGAAACGTTTCGCCACACAGCGGCTTCATCAGTCCAATACTTTGTATTGGACTGATGAAGCCGCTGTGTGGCGAAACGTTTCTTCAATAAAGATTCCCATGTGTTGCATAAGTGTCTCAATTCTTCATAAACCAGGATGATGATGGTCCGTGATTGTTGTGGTGCAAAGCAGGTGGAGTGAGAGGGAGTGGGTGTATTTTGGCATGTCCGGTACACCAGCTGAGTGCCAAGTAAGTTAGTTGGATCGTCCCGAGTTAGACTACGGGTAAAAAGCTTACTTAAAACACAGTTTGCTTCTTGGTGCAACTGGACACAAAACCAATGCTTTATCTACGGTAGCGTAGTGAGGGCAACGTAGCTGATATTTTTGTGATTAACATAAGGTGGGCGTGGTGATGGTACATAGGAGTGGTTGTAGTGGCACTTCGGAGGTGGAGTGAGTCGTAGTGATACATGAGAGTAATGGTTGTAGTGATACATCGGAGGTGGAGTGAGTCGTAGTGATACATGAGAGTAGTGTTTGTAGTGGTACTTCGGAGGTGGAGTGAGTTGCAGTGGCACTTCGGAGGTGAAGCGAGTGTTGTAGTGGTACTTGGGTGGAGTAGGTATTATAGTGGTACATAGCAGATGATGGAATGGGTGTTAATGGTTCATGGGAGGTGAAGAGGGTGTTATAATGGTACATGGGAGGTGGAATGGGTATTATAGAGGTACATGGGAGGTGGAGTGCGTGTTATAATGGTACATGGGTGTTGGTACATGGATGGGAGGTGGTGGACTGGGCGTGGCACCATCAATTTGCCAGGTTGGTTAACAGAGATAAAGCCCGCCGATTACTCAAGGGTCATTAAGGCTGCACTGCAACCTGTTCACCTCCAGACAAGTAAATTCTGATCCCTAAAACAGAGATTAAATTAACTCTGAGCATATATAGCTGAGAGAAAGACTGAGAGTATACATCCTGTGAGCCACACAGGACCTCACTGTTTACATCGCCTCACATCCGCTCCTCGACTTCCAACTCTCTAAAAAAAATAATTATTTTCCTAATTAAAACTATCGTACAGCAATTATATTCCCTTTAACCGCTCTTAGTATAGTCGTTCATCAAACAGCTGCATGTCATATTATTGGACAATGTAATTATATTAGAGAATTAGGTTGGAAATTACAAAATAAAGTAAAATTGGAACCATGTAGCCATGACTCATGGTGGTTGCCAGAACTCATAAATTTATTACCCTCCTCCCTTCCTCCCTCTCCTGTCTTATTGATAGTGACTCCACACTTGATATTCACTGATAATTATTATTTTTTAAGTAGAGCACGCGTTTATAACAAACACAAAATAGTAAGATTTGCAATTTTAAACAACAATGACAGCATCAACAATAACAGCAACATCAGCAACAACGGCAAATCAACATCAGCAACGACGTCATCAACAACAACGTCTCATCAAAAACAGCAATATCAACAACAACAGCATCTCGATAACGGCAAACATCAACAGCTCGATTGCTAGCGCACTCAGCTCACACACTGAGGTCCGTGGTTCGATCACCGGTACCTACCTGGAGGGTTTTTCCGGGATCAACGCCCCCTCGGCCCGGTCCACGACCAGGCCTCCAGGTGGATCAGGGCCTGATCAACCAGGCTGTTACTGCTGGCCGCACGCAGTCACCAACGTACGAGCCACAGCCCGGCTGATCGGCACCGACTTTAAATATCTATCCAGCGCCCTCTTGAAGGCAGCCAGGGGCCTTTTGGGGTAATTCCCTTATGCATGGTGGAGGTGTTGAACAGTCTTGGGCCCTGGATATCATGTGGGGTTCAAAACACGTGGATAGGGTAAAGTAATACTCACGTAGGCTGGTAGTACGTATATTACGGATAATGGGTGAAGCGCCCAAACAGCCATGACCTGCCTCCTTGCTCACTCTCGTATAACTGACCGCCCACAGTACCCATATGTGGGGGTCTTTGAAATACTGCTGAGGTCACCCAATATGAATACAGACAGTGACTCAGGCAGAGACGGTTGGTAGTGAGTCATCTACTGGTACACTGGTTCTGGTAACTGGTTATACTACTGAGAGATCGGCGACGTAACGTATGTCGTCCCGACATACACCCGTGACCTGCCTCTTGCTCACTCTCGTATAATGACCGCCCACAGTACCCATATGTGGGGGTCTTTGAAATACTGCTGAGGTCAGCGGCAATATGAATACAGACAGTGACTCAGGCAGAGACGGTTGGTAGTGAGTCATCTACTGGTACACTGGTTACTGGTAACTGGTACTACTACTGAGACGGACACTTTGGTTTTTTCTCTTAGTGCCCCAAATGGCCCCCCCTATTTTTAAATTTGGGGGGCCTTTTTGCATCGCCTGCCCAGTCTTTTACTTTCGTAGGGAGTGATTTCTGTGTGCAGATTTGGGACCATTCCTTCCAGGATTTTCCAAGTGTAGATTATGATATATCTCTCTCTCCTGCGTTCCAACGAGAACAAGTCAAGTGCTTCCAAGCGTTCCCAGTAGTTAAGGTGTTGGCAGAAAATTATACGTGCAGTAAAGAATCTCTGTACACTCTCTAGATCTTTCAATTTTCACCTCTTTAAATGGAGATGTTAATTACAGCAGTATTCCAGCTAGAAAGAATAAGTGATTTGAAAGGATCATCATTGGCTTTGGGAACTCTCGTTTTGAACGTTCTCATTATCCATCTTATCATTTTCTTTGCACGTGCGATGTGGCACTGTTGTGATCCTTGAAAGTGAGATCCTCAACATTACTACTCCCAGGTCCCTCACATTATTTTTCCGCTCTATTGTATGAGCAGGTTTGTAGTTTACTCTGTTCTAGTTATTATCTCCTCCAGTTTTCCATAACGGAGTAGTTGGAATTTGTCTTCATTTGAACATCATATTGCCTTTCCCCTTGCCCCCTGGAAAACTTTGTAAACTTCTTGGAGGTTAATCGAGTCCTCAATAGATGACAGTCTCATGCAGATCCCAGTATCGAATGTAAAGGATGACACTGCGCTGTGGTGTATATCTCTGTCTATATCTGATAAGAGGATGAGGAACAGGATGGGGGCGAGTACTGTGCCTCGTGGGAACAGAGCTTTTTCACTATGGCCCGGTGGCCTGGTGGCTAAAGCTCCCGCTTCACACACGGAGGGCCCCGGGTTCGATTTTCCGGGGGGGGGAAACTTCCGACACGTTTCCTTACACCTGTTGTCCTGTTCACCTAGCAGCAAATAGGTAAACCGGGTGTTTGTCTACTGGTGTGGGTCGCATCCTGGGGGACAAGATTGAGGACTACAATGGAAATAAGTTAGACAGTCCTCGATGACGCACTGACTTTCTTGGGTTATCCTGGGTGGCTAACCCTCCGGGTTAAAAATCCGAACGAAATCTTATCTCTTATCTTATCTTATGGCAGCTTCCGGCGGGGAGGAAACATTAGGACGTGTTTCCTTAAGGCACCTGCTGTCCATGTTCACCTCTCAATAAAATAAGTGCCTGGCTGTTAGTTGATGGTGTGGGTCGCATCCTGGGGACAAAACTGACCTAATTTCCCCGAAATGCTTTGCATAACAAGGGGCTTTCTATATAATAATATTATGTCATTGATGTCAGCTAGGTTTGTATACCTTGTCCCTCAGAGAAGGTTCCTTGACGCTGGTGAGGGGGTCTTTATCTAGGGAAAATTTGGGTCTGTGCTCCAGTTCCCTGGGAGCTGCTTTATCTGTATTTTTTGTACTCTGTATGTGTGCTCAAATTGGAAATAAATAAATTATTTTATAATCAAGGGGAAGCGCTAAACCCGGAGGATTATACAGCGCTGGGGGGGGGATGTGGAAGGCATTCAGGCTTAATTCGGGGAACTGGAGCACAGATCCAATTCCCTAAATCAAGAGCCCCTCACCAACATCAAGGAACCTTCCTTGAGGGGTCCAGTTCCCTGAATTAAGCCTGAATGCCTTCTACATCCCCACAGGCGTTGTATAATCCTATGGGTTTAGCGCTTCCCCTTGATTATAATAATAATAATAATAATTGTATACCTTGTACATGTACTTATAGAAATAAATATATTATTAGTATTATTATCAATTGCAACAGCAACGGTAACATCAACAACAAAGGTTTGGTGTCCCGTAGCTCGATTGGTAGCGCACTCAGCTCTGACACTGAGGTCCGTGGTTCGATCCCCGTACGGGTGAAAACATTAGGAATGTTTCCTTAAGACGCCTGCTGTCCTAGCAGGTGTCTTAAGGTGTGAGTTGCATCCTAGGGCCAAAATTGACCTAATTTGCCTGAAATGCTCTGCATAATAAGGGGTTTTCTATATAGCAGTATGTCATTGATGTTAGCTCGGGCTGTATACCTTGTACATGTACCTGTATAAGGATTATTATTATATGCACGACAAATGCAACAACAACAGCAACGGTAACATCAACAACTTCGGTAATATCACAATGACGGCAACATCACAACAGTGACATCAACATCAGAACGGTAACTATCTGGAGGGTGTTTCTGGGGTCAGCGCCCCTGCGACCCAGTCCTTGACCAGGCCTTCCGGTGGATCAGGGCCTGAGATCAACCAGGCTGTTACTGCTGGCCGCACGTAGTCCAACATACGAACCACAGCCCGGTTAATCAGGTACTGACTTTATCTCAGTAGTGGTAGCCAGTTGCCAGTGACCGGTGTACCAGTAGATGACTCACTACCAGCCGTCTCTGCCTGAGTCACTGTCTGTATTCATGTTGTGCTGGACCACAGCAGTATTCAAAGACCCCCTCACATATGGGTACTGTGGGCGGCCAGTTAGTTATCCGAGAGTGAGCAAGAGAGGCAGGCCGGCTGTTTGGCTCTTCCATACTTACCGTTATAATTATACGTACTTCCAGCCTACGTGAGTATTACTTTACCCTATCCACGTGTTCGAATCCCACATGACATTTAGGTATCTGTTCAGCTCCCTCTTCAAGGCAGCCAGGGATCTGTTGGTAATTCCACTTATGTATGGTGGGAGGCTGTTGAAAAGTCTTAGGCTCTGGGCAGTTACTGTGTTTTCTATTAGTGTACTAATGGCGCCCCTACTTTTCATTGTGAGGTATGCTGCACCGCCTGTCCAGTCTGCTTTTGTAAGGAGTAATTTCTGTGTGCAGATTTGGGACCAGTCCCTCTAGGTCTCGCCATTTTGCCTTAACTCCTGCAGGTAGCCAACCAAATTTCTCTGAACAAACTTTGTTGGCTCCACTCAGTACAGACTCCTCCAGGAGCTTTTGAATTTCAGGTACTTGGATGTCAAAGTACTGAAAGTGAAGAAACACTTAGCACATTGCCCGTCTAGGATTTTGCAAGTGTAGATTATGATGTATCTCTCTCTCCTGCGCTCTAGCGAGTACAGGTCAAGAGACTCCAAGCATTCCCAGTAATTAAGGTTAGTCTCCAAGTAGATACAGTCCTCCCATTCCACAGGTGCTATATGACTCCTATGGGTTTAGCGCTTTACTCTGAGTAAGATCTAACAATTGTGAACAGCATCAATATTTAATGGCTGATGCATCGTACAAAATGGATGGAACGTATCGTGGGTTGAGGCTGTGTAGCAAAAATTTTGTTGGATTCTGTGCAATTACTAGATAATACATCTTCTAGCCAGCTTCAATTTTTTAGTGCTAATGAAGCAGTTATATTAATTAATGAAATTAGTTTCTGTGACGTAAGTGGAGAATGTCTCTGATGAGTAATGTCAGTTTTTTTTACTTTATTCGGTTATCCAAGGTTAAATTAGCTTTATATTCTTTTAAAACAATGTCTATAATTTCTTTGACCTTTTTGGGGGTTATCCTAGGTAATTTACATATGTTACTTGGGTTATCGTAGGTAATTTACATGTTACCTGGGTTATCCTAGGTAATTTACGTTACCTGGGTTATCCTAGGTAATTTACATGTTACCTGGGTTATCCTAGGTAATTTACATGTTACCTGGGTTATCCTAGGTAATTTTCATGTTACTTGGGTTATCATATGCTGCTATGTATGATAATCTTTGTAACTGCATTTGTGTATACCTGAATAAACTTAATTTACACACGTTACTTGGGTTATCCTAGGTAATTTACACGTTACTAGGTATTGTAATTGTACTTGAGTAAGTTTATTCAGGTACAGGTACACATAAATAGTTATATAAATTCTTTCTCTGTTGGATAGCAGCTTATGTGTAGATACCTAAGACAACCTAAAAAAGTCAGACATACTTATGTGTACCTGTATCTTATTAAACTTAAGACCATTTATTTTGTCTGTCTCTGACGAGGTAAGTAAGTAAGTAAGTTTATTCAGGTATACACAAATACAGTTACATAGAATTATCATACATAGCAGCATATGTGTAGAGAACCTGGGATAACCCAAAAAAGTCAGACAGAGTGACTTATTTCCATTGGGGTCCTTTTACCTTATTATTATAATATAAAGGTTATAATATTTTCTTATTATTCTACAATGAAGATAACATCTTATTATCATACTAAAGAGGCTATCTACTACACGAAGATCATTAAGACTATCTACAATACGAGGGTCATTACTAGGAATACGGTAAAATTTACACGTATGTTAGCTAAAAAATAGAAAATCATTCCCCTCCCTTTCTGTAGCTACATTCATCAGACACTTTTTGGCACTCTTCTTGAACTGGTTCATGCTATGACTGGCTTTGACATGTGCAGGCAGTCTGTTCCATTCCTTTATTGCTGTACAATAAAAGGTGTTTGAAGCCTGGCCACTGACTGTGGGTACTACAAAGTTGTGCTCTCTCCCCCTAGTACTATGATTGCTGCGGTTCCCAACCTTGACAAAATTGACAGCAAGATATTCTGGACATTGTTTGTGAGCAATTTTATAAACATGATTTAACTTCAGTTGTTTTACTCTGTCTTCAACATTCAGCATATCCAACTGCTGTAATTCATCCTGGCCTACATGTTCTCTTGGTCCCAGCCCCAGGATGAATCTTACGATTTTGTTCTGGGTGATTTGCAGTCTATCTTTCAGTTTTTTTTGTCAAGGCAGAGTACCAAGAAGAGCAAGCGTAATCCATATGGCATTGTATAAGGGCTAGACATAGGGTCCTGCGAGCCTCAGTAGGTAGACACTGTGCTTGTCTATACAGGAACTTCAGTTTGGCATTCGCTTTCTTTACTACACTGTTCCCTATCAATTCTCCTGACATGCATGGGTCAAAGGGGATTCCCAATATTTTACTGATGAAACCAAAGTGATGGGCTCCCCATTACATTGAACATTAAAATTATTTACCCTTCTCAGTTTATGTTTCGTGCCAAAGAGAATGGCTTCAGTTTTCCCTAGGTGTAATGATAGTTTGTTGTCTACTAACCATTTGCTGCAGGACTCCAGTTCCAGTGTTAAAACATTAGCAATATCTTGTGGGTCTTTACCTGACACTAACAGAGCACTGTCATCTGCATACAGTAGGAGTTTGCACTTGACACTGATAGGCATATCATTGACATAACATAAGAATAATAAGGGACCCAGAATACTACCTTGGGGAACTCCACATGTTATCGGCAGGGGTTCTGATTCTGTTTTGTTGATTTTGACTATTTGTCTCCTGTTGCTAAGGTAGGACTTAAACCAGTCTACAGAACCTATACCGATAGCTTGAAGTTTATTACATAATATATTGTGGTTGACAGTATCGAAGCCTTTTGCAGGTCTAAGGTTACCATACCTATGAGGTTCCCCTTTGACATTTCAGTTCTCAGGTAATCCATCAGATTAATAAGGGAGGTGTCGGTTAAGTAGGATCTTCTAAAGCCCGATTGATAGCTATGGAGAATGTTGTTGTCATTAAGGTACTTAACTACTTGAGAATACACCGCCCTCTCTAGAATTTTAGATATTATACTGAGTATACTAACAGGCCTATTACCTGGAGTTTACCTGGAGAGAGTTCCGGGGGTCAACGCCCCCGCGGCCCGGTCTGTGACCAGGCCTCCTGGTGGATCAGAGCCTGATCAACCAGGCTGTTGCTGCTGGCTGCACGCAAACCAACGTACGAGCCACAGCCCGGCTGATCAGGAACTGACTTTAGGTGCTTGTCCAGTGCCAGTTTGAAGACGCCGGGGGGTTTTTGGGTAATCCCCCTTATGTGTGCTGGGAGGCATTTTTGAACTCTCGGGCCCCGACACTTATGTATGGTCTCTTAAGGCTTGACACCCCTGCTTTTCTTTGGGGGGGTGGTGCATCTTTCTCCCAAAGTCTTTTGCTTTCGTGTGGTGATTTTCGTGGCAATTTCGGTACTAGTCCCCTTAGGATTTTCCAGGGTATAAAATCATTATCTTCCCTCCTGCTTTCCCGGGGGAACAGGTTTAGAAACCTCAAGCGCCCCCAGTAATTGAGGTGTTTATCCCGTTTGCGCCCCGTGAAAGCCCCTGTACATTCTCTGGGTGGGCAATTTCCCCTCCCCTTGAAAGGGCCGTTAGTGTGCACATATTCCAGCCTAATAGAAACAAGTGCCCTGAAGAGCGTCATCATGGGCTTGGCCTCCCTTTTTTTGGGTTCTCATTATCCCCCTGTCTTTTTTCGGGCGATCGATTGATACAAGTTGGCCCTTTGAGGTGAGTCCTCCGACATGACACCCCCCGGTTTTGGTTTGGGGTTTCGCTCTTTTTTTTGGGGCCCAAAATTTTGTTTTGTACTCTGTGAAGATTTTAAATTTCCTCAGTTTACCTTTCTGAGTAATTGAAATTTCTCACTTTGAACATCATATTGTTTTCTGCAGCCCACTGAAAGATTTGGTTGAGTCCCCTGGAGCCTTGCAGTTCTGAAATGGAAGAAAATGTATGCGATTGGGGTGTCACTGCAAAGGAAGAACGGTGTGTGGTGAATCTTTGTCTATGTCGGAATGAGGATGAGGAAAAAAGATGGGAGCGAGTACTGTCCCCTTGTGGAACGAGCTTTTCACCGTAGCTGCCGGACTTTACTCTGTTGACGACTACTCTCTGTGTTTTTTAGGGGGAAATTATAGATCCATCGACCGTTTTTTCCCCTGTTTTTCCCTTTTAGACGAATTTGTGCGCATTACCCATGGTCACACTGTCAAAGGGCTTTTGCAAGTCTGTATATATTACATCTCATTCTTTTTGTCTTCTAGGCATTTGGGGACCTTGTCGTAGTGATCCAAAGTTGGACAGACAGGACGACCTGTTCAAAACCCCATGTTGCCCGGGGTTTGTACTGATGGGTTTTAGATGGGGGGTTTTGTCTTGTTTCTTGGACCCTTTAAAAGATTTTTATGATAGGGTGTTAGTGCTAGGGTCTGTTTCTTTGCTTTTGTTTTAAATCCCCCCTTTTTGTGGAGTGGGGCTATGTCTGTTTTTTTTAGTAACTGGGGAGACCCCGGTCCATGCTCCTCTCCATGGGATAAAAAAGGGCTCGTGAAGGGGCTTTTGCAGTTTTTGATGAACCAGAGTTCCTGAGTCTGGCCCTGGGGCAGAGTGCATGGGCATGTCATTTATCGCCTTTTTCGAAGTTTTGGCGTCAGGTAACTTCGGATATTTTGTTAATAAAATTTTGTGGCTCTCATAAAAAATTCTTTTTGATCTTCGACTTCGTCTGGTTAGCGGCTTGCAAAAAAAAGATAAATTTTGGGACTTGAGTACTCCCCTCTTTTCCCCTTGCTGTCATCTGTGTGGGACCCATCTTTTTTAAAGTGGGCCAATATGGCGTTTTCTCGATTTTGTTTTGGGCATGGAGGTAGTTGCTTACATCAGACCTCTTTTTTCTTGAAGATAGGAGAACCCGGGCCCTCCTTAAACCCCTCCGGTACGGTATTAGTGGTGATTAAGATTTTATTATGTGGCAATGGGGATTG